TGCATACAGGAGGTCCCAGTCCCTTTCGTTGTTGGTTATGGTTGTGAAGTGCGCTGGCTAGGTATTTCTGCCTACTCCAGTGTGCTATTGAGGTGCAAACAGGGCCCCTCCCCTCTGGGTCTGTCAACCTGCTGAGTCCTTCACTGTGTTAGTGTGCCCTGTGCATAGAGAACTGGTTTGAGATAACTTATTGGGTCCCAGCCAGGGGCGTGACCCAAACTAAGCATACCCCACCAGTCTCATCTGGAAAGGGACCAACTGCTGAAGTCATTGCTGTTCCTTGTTCTTGCCAATGCTGCCCAGTTCCAAAATGTCGTCCCGTCTGTGCCCCTTTCCCATGGAAGGGTCTTATTCCCAGCACTCACTGCAGGTCAGTGCAGGTCCCTTGCTGGCTCCATTCTGGTTGGGCTTACCAACCTCCGACTTCAGTGCAACTGCACTTCAGTGCAACTGTGGTTCCAGCGAGTCCAAGCGGTGCCAATTCGGGCGTTTCGAGTTGCGGCTGCGCGAGTTCAGGCACTGCAGGGAGAGCACCGAATCTTGGCTGCTCCAATAATAGCCCCAGGACTGCATGTTTGACTGGTTCTTTTTGCTTTAGTTTCTTCCTGGGTCTCCATCTCCTTCTATCCAGGACTCCCCATGATGTTTTATTTCTGCATCTGAGTTGTCTGTCTCAGGGAGCCTCTGTATTCTGCTCTTATCTATCCGCCATCTTTTTGATCCCCCCCCCCCCAACTGTCTGTATTTCAGGTTGGCCTTGAACTCACAGTTATCTTACTGCCTCAGCCTCCCAATGCTGGGATTTCAGGTGTGTGGTACCATGCCCAGCAAAAAGGTTTAAATCAAGGGTTAGCAAACTACTCTCTATATGGTAAATGCAGCATGTGAAAGTGACATTGTCTCACATGTACATTGTAATACAACTCAATAATCAAAATACGAAAAGCTGTGATCATTGACACACACTTGTAATCTCAACTACCCAGGAGGCTGAGGCAGCAGGGTCACAAGTTCAAGGCCACTCAGGGCAACATAGCAAGAGCCTGTCTCAAAAAAAAAAAAAAAAAAAAAAGAAGTTATGAATTTGACCCTAGCTGTATATTGACAGATAATTGAGTAAAGAAAATGAGATATTTGAATAACACTCAGCCATAAGAAATAATACAGTCCTGTTATTTGCAGCAACAAGGACAGAACTGAATATATATGTTAAGTGAAATAGACGCAGAAAAACAGACACCACATGTTTTCATATATGGTGAAACTCAAAATTGATCACAACCTCAGCCAGCTTTGGTGGTCCACACCTGTCATTCAGAATTCTGGGAAGCTGAGGCAGGAGGACCTCAAGTTCCAGTCCGATCTGGGCATCTCAGGAAGACCCTGTCTCAGAATAAAATATATTCTATATTCACAGAAAAGGACACTAACATTATAAAGCTCTATTTAGAAATATTAGACTAAAAGAAAAATCAAACAAAAATATACTACATGATTCTAGTTTCATAAACCTATAGGAAAGACAGATCTGGAGTGATTGGAGAGCACTTTATCCTGCCATGGTGAGATAAAAGCACGATTTCTTTAACCCAATATGGTGGCACATGCCTGTAATTCCAGCACTCTGGAAGTCTGGCTGGAAGGGTTCTTTAAACTGGTATCATTGAATCATTTTGGGCCCACAGGTCTGTAATCTCCTTGGACACATATCTAGAAATTTTTTATGTTTATAGTTTTTGTGGGAATGGCCATAGATTTCATTCAGAACCAAGAAGTTATTTTATGTTGACTTCCTCCAGAAGCAGACAGATTGGAAGTGAGATGACCAAAGGGAGGAATGAGGGAACCATGTGTTCAGTTATGTTTCTTTTGAGAGTTTTGCTTGTCTTGTCTTGTCTTGTCTTGTCTTGAGATAGCTTCTCTTGTCACGTATTATTTGGGAAGCTCACTAAACTTCCTAAATGTTTCATGTTCCTAAAAGCTGGTTTATGATGGTCATTTTTATTTACTTATTTTTTTGCTGGGGGTTGAATCCAGGCTCTTGTGCATCCTGGGTAAGTGTTCTACCACCAAGCCACACCCTAACCTGATTGGCTACTTTTAAGTTGAGTGCATACACATAGTTGATTTGGTATCAAAACTGCACATCATCAAATGGATATATTTCACATACTTGCTGTTTTTTCATGTTTATAAATTTGTTGTCCTACCTCGTCTGGCTCTTAAAACATGAGAAAAAACCATGTGTTACTGTTTATTCACTTGCTAACTAGTCAGTTACTTTGGTTACGAGAAATTCGTGTTTATGAAAAACAGTGTTTTGAGGTTTTTCAGAGACCCAATCTTTTCCTTAAATTAAGTTTTTGTTGGGTATATATGAGCTAAGCACTGTCCTAGGTGCTGAAAACACCAACTATTTGATGTGGGACATATATCTAATCACACAGCATTCCTGGTACAGTATAATACATGAGGACAATATAGGACTATTTTGGGACACTTAGGAGGGGCACTTTATCCTGCTATGGTGAGATAAAAGAACGATTTCTTTAACCCAATATGGTGGCACATGCCTGAAATTCTAGCACTCTGGAAGTCTGGCTGGAAGGGTTCTTTAAACTGGTATCATTGAGTCATTTTGGGCCCACAGGTCTGTAATCTCCTTGGACACATATCTAGAAATTTTTTATGTTTATAGTTTTTGTGGGAATGGCCATAGATTTCATTCAGAACCAAGAAGTTATTTTATGTTGACTTCCCCCAAAAGCAGACAAAAATAGGAGAGAAGGTAGTTTGTGAAGTATGGCCAGGAAACACGGCCGGGTGGGGTGGCAGGGTGGAGAATGCGATAGCAGAGAATAAGAGCCAGTACATGATGTGTTATCTGTAAGCAATTGAGGCTGAGTACTCCTGTTGCACCCCTGAAGGTGGTGTGGATAGTATTTCATATTCATCACAAATTAAAGATTAAGGCACTTCTGCCAGCTCCTGGCTGGGGAATGCTCCCAGGAGTGGTTAATTTTCTTTCCTCAGAGAAACTCCCTTACAAAGATTTGGACATGTAAATGCTGAGGGGATAAATATGAGGAGCTTCCAGCACCTGCTATAAAGGCAACAATAAAATACAATTTCATTTCTTGGTTAATTGAAAATCTTAAAAATTGCTTAATTGTCTAGATGTGCTGTGACATTAAGAAATTTTTTATGTGGCTTGGGGTTTAGCTCAGCGGACCAGAGCCTGTCTGGCAAGTGCAAGGTCATGAGTTCAATCCCTGATACAAAAAAAAAAAAAAGAAGAAAAACAGTAATTTTTTATGTGGTAATATAGAAGGATTATTGTAGTTCATACCAAATAATGCTTTCCTTTGTTTGTCTTGTTTTGTTTTTTTCTAGGTGTTTTTGAGACAGGGTCTTGTTATGTAGTTCAGGCTGGTCCTGGACTCACTATGTAGCTCAGGCTGACCTTGAACTCACAGCAAATCTCCTGCCTCCGTCTCCTGAGAACTGGGATTATAGGTGTGCAACACTATATCTAGTTCTTTTAAAAGAAGTAATAATAGCCAGGTGTGGTGATGCATATATCTTAAGGCAGAATTTGTTTTTGTTAATTGCAATTTGAGCTATACTTTAAAATCACTAACATTTTATTCAGACACCATTGTTTGTTTAATTGGCTAACTTACAAATCATCAGAATTTCACTCTAAATCTCAGATGTGATCACCATCTGGCGGTGAGTAACAGTAACTGTTTGGATAGTGCTTTTATGGTCTATGAAGTGTTTTCAGATACATTTTGTCACTAAAATAACTAGAAAGCCATTTTTATTCTGCTTTCTGACAAGATTTCAGGAGCCTGTGGAATGTCATTGTATGTTACTCATGTAAATACTCTGCTTGTCCAGTAAATGATGATTGAAAGAAAAGTGTCACATGATCACATTAGTGAGGAATAAAGACAATATAAATTTCACAAAGAAAGGAAGTTTTTTAGTGTGAATTTATGGTTCTACATAATTATTTATGAAAGAAGTATCAAACTAATTTCATAATATTTAAGATCATGATGGTCATAAAGTGTCATTTAATATGGTGTTCAAGTTTTTAAATCCATAGTGTTTAAAAACTTAAATAAACATAAATGAATTGGAGGGGTTGAGAGAGTATTGCTGTATAGTTCTTGCTGGCCTTGAACTCACTATGCAGCCTACCCTGGCCTTGAATTTATGGCAATATTCCTGCCTTAGTCTCCTGAACACTGAGATTATATGCCTGGCAAAAAATATTATTTTGTTAGGTACAATCCAGTTTTAAGAGAACCAAAAACGATTGTCTGAAATCTTTTGACATCCACTTTACCAGTGGTTATACACTGTTGGGAGATTAATGCCACTTAATTATTTGGCAGTTTTAATTAATTAATGGCAAATTTTGTCATGTACCACAGTGAAAAGTTAATAATGTACTGTACCAAAACCTGTTACATACCCCTTCCTTCCTCCTTTCCTCTTTTTTCTTTTCTCTCCCTGTTTCTCTTGTCTCTCTTATTCTCTTCTTTTTTTTCATTATTCTTTCCTTTTAAATTCTTGCTACTCACTGTGTAGCCCAGGCTGGCCTTGAACTCATGGCAATCCTATTTGGTCATGATAGATAATCTCTTTGGTGGTTCCTTGAATTGCTTGCCAGTATCTTGCTGAGGATTTTTGTATCTATGTTCTTTAAAGAGATTAGTCTACAGTAGTGTGTTTTGGTTAGATACATATCAGGTTTAGAATCAGGGTAACTATATCTCCCAGGAATGACTTAGAGAATATTCTTTCCCTTTCAGATTCGTTAAAGAGCTTGGAGTGTTAGGTCTTTCTTGAAGTTCTTGTAGAATTCAGCAGTGAATTTTTCTGGACCTGGGCTTTTCTTAGTTGCAGGTTTTTTTTTTTTCTTTTTATCATTTTTTTTTTTTTTTTTACTAGTGTTCAATTTTATTGCCTATTAGTGGATTATTTAAGGTATCTAAACCTTCTTGGTTCAGCTTTGGCAGTTTGTATGAATCTAGAGAATCTATCCATTTCTTTTGTGCTTTCCAGTTTATTGGCATGCAGATTTGGTGTTTTTTCTCATTTTCTTTTTACTTTTCCCTTCCTTCCTTTCCCTTTCCCACTTTCCTTGTTCTCCTTCTAATTTGAACATTTTCTTACAATTTCACAATGTGTGTTACACATTTTGGTCTTTATTTAAACTTTCAGTTTCTCACATGAGAGAAACAAATGCAATATTTATATATATGTCTCCAGTTTACTTCACTTAACAGTGTGGTCTCAAGATGCATCCATTCACCTAGAAATGTCTGAAGTGTTCCTTCACTATGGCAGAGTAGTACTCCATTGTAAAAAAAAAATCACATCTTCTTTATCAGTTCACTAGGTAAGGGGCATTTGGGCTGTTTCCAAGATTTGGCTATTACAAACTGTGCTGCTGTAAACATGAGCTTGCATATATTGCTGTGGTATGATGTTTTTAATTCTTTCGGGAAGATACCAAGAAGGAGAATAGCTGGATCCAGTGGGACCTCTAGTTTTAGTGGGTTTTTTTTTTTTTTGTACCAGGGATCAAACTGACAACCTTACTCTTGGCAAGCAGGTGCTTATTGTGCTGAGCTAAGTCCCTGGAAAGTTCTAGTTTTTTGAAGCATCTCCACACTAATTTCCACAGTGTTTGTATCCGTGTACACTCTCGCTGTTATGTTTGTGTTTGGATGTCCCTCCCCCAAAGCCTCATGCAGTCAGGAAGCTATCTTTTAGAGTTTGTGAATGACTCATGGTCCAATGCTGGGATTATGGTGTGAGTGCCACACTCACGTGGATGTGGCCTACATACAATATAAGGGACAGAGTCTTCTGTCTTTGCTTCTCCCCTTTGCTCTTGTTGCTTGTGCTGTTTTCTGCTGCCATGAACTTTTGCCCTCTGTCATGTGCCACTGTGCCACGGATCTAGTTGATTATGAACTGAAACCTCTACAAACCATGAACTAAATAAACCCTTCTTTCCTTCACTTTGGGTGTTGACTATTTTGTCCCAGCAACAAGAGAAAAGTAACTGAGACAGAATTTGGTACCAGTGGAGTGGAGTCATTGCTGTAACTATGCCTGACCATGTAGTTCAAGAATCTTTGGAAATGGCTTGTGGGAAGAGTTTTTAAAGATTTGGAGATGTTGCCTGAAGGAGTAGAGCTGAAATACCTTAGACTGTTCTGCATGGAAGATTCTGGTCAGAAGTCAGAAGACCTGAAGACTGATAGAAAGCTTGCTGGTAAGAAACCAGACTTGGGAGGTTTCTGCTGGAAAAAAGGACTGCCTTGGGTGCAGGACCCCAGATGTTACATGGATAGATGTTATGGCTCCAGATATATGTTATGGCTTGACAGAAATTTGTCTGTATTTTGCTCATGTCCAGAGTTTGCCTGAGACTAAGATTAAGGGCAGCAGGCTGATTAATCTGGCAGAAGAAATTTCAAGACAGTTGAATGTTGAGGTGGTGGCATGTCTATTGTTGAGGGCTTTAACCAGATTTATATTGTGAATCAAAGAGCATAGAGCCCAGCAGGATGATCTTTTTCCTTTTTATCGGTACCAGGGATCGAACTCACGATTGCCTGCTTGCAAGGCAGGCGTTTATACCGCTGAGCTAAATCCCCAGCCCCAGCAGGATGATTTAAAACATCATTGAGTTTGGCCAGAAAGGAAGCTCCAGTAGAGCTGTGGGCTACAAAGATAGAGCTGAGGAGATGGCGATTACTGAGAATGAACATGAGAATATAAAAGATAGCTTGGGGGCATCACAAGCAGTAGCAGCAGTGAGTCTCCACACTTTGCAGTCTCAAAACTGCAAAAGTGAAATACTTTGCTTTGAGGAGAAAGCCAAAATGACTGATGTTCCAGAATGACTGATGGCAGCAGTCACACTGTTCCAGAATGGTGTCAGAGGCCATGCAAGATTCCAATATGGTGGCAGCTGCACCAGGTTCCAGAATTGTGGTGGCATAGAAAATTTGTTCCTCAAAATGAGGTTCAGGGTGCTCAGTGTTCCAGGCATTTGACCTCTACAACCAAGAGAGAGGCAAACCTGACTGTTGCTTGAGCTGACAGTAGATATTAGCATCATCCATGTGGTACAGGTTTTAGGTACATGCAGAATGCAAGACTTTGAGGTTAGAAGGGCTTTCATCTTGATTTCTAAAGGTCTGGGAAGCCAGGCAGTATGCCCCTGAGAAGGCAGTATATGGAGAACCCAGAAGTTTGGAAAAACCAGGAGTGTGAATTGTCTTAAGAAATCTTGTGAGGAGGAAGCAAAGTCAGCCCAAGAGAGAAACCATGGGTGCTACAACCACAAGTGCCATGAGGGTAGAGTCACTCAAGTGCTTTGGAGCTCCAGGTTGCTTCTGGTGCTGAACATGGAACTTGACGACTTAATGTTTGCCCTGTTGGATTTTGGACTTCCTTTGGTCCTATTCCTTTGTATCCCCATTTGTACCCTTTGGAATGATAATGTTTATCTTGTGCTATTGAATGTTGGAAATGTTTAACTTTGTTTTCATTTGTACAGGGGGTTGCAGCTAAGAATCTGCCTTACATTTTGAAGGAGACTTGGGAATTGAACTTTTCAGCAGTGCTGAAAGTATTAGGACTTTGGCAACTCCTGGCAATGGACTAAATGTCTTTCACATAAAGGATGTGTATGAGTCTTTGGAGGACCAGAGGTGGAATGTTATGGTTTGTGTTTAAATGTAGCCTCCTGTGGTTATGACAAGGGGGCTTTCGAAGGCAAGTGTTAAGGGCAGCAGGCTAATTAATCTGGCAGAAGAAATTTCAAGACAGTCAAATGTTGAGGTGGTGGCATGCCTATTATGTTTGTGTTTGTGTTTGTGATTGGTTGGTTGTCTAGGCTGGGATTTGCAGTATGAGTGCCAGGGCAGGGTAGCTGGCATACAGTTTAAGGGAGGAAAGGAGGTGTACTCTCCCCTTTGCCCTTTCGCTCTTTACGCTTCTGGTATCTGCCACAGGCTGCCATGTTGACCCTCAGCCATACCACCCTTACTTGGAGCTAGCTTATTATGGACTGAAGTCTCCACAAACTGTGAACTAAATAAACCTTTCCTTCATTTTAGGCATCATGTATTTTGTTTCAGCAATGAGAAAAGTAACCAAGATTCCCATCAACAGTGGAGAGAAGAGTTCTTTTTTCTGCACAACCCTGCCATGATTTGTTACTGATTTCTTGATGATAGCATTTCTTTCTGGAGTGAGATGGACTCTCAGCATTGTTTTGATTTACATTTCTCAGATGACCAGTGATGTTTGATATTTTTTCATATGTTTATTTGTCTTTTTTTTTTCTTTTGTTTTTGGTACCAGGGATCAAATTCATGACCTCATGCTTAACAAGCAACCGCTTGAGCCCCCGAGCTAAATCCCTGACCCCTTATTTATCATATCTACTTATTTATCTGAGTCATGTCTTCATTTCAGATTCCCATTTTTGGATAGGGTCTTTAAATTTAGGCAGGTTTAATTTTTTTGAGTTATGCATATTCTGGATAGTAGTGCTTTGTGCATCAGCTGGCAAAATTTTTTCCAATGCTAAAGATCTGTCTATTTCATGTATTCCTTTGAAGAACCAACTCTGTTTTTGGTGCTGGGGATCAGAACCAAGTCTTTGATTCATTGATTCTTTATATTGTTTTTTTTTTTTAATCTCAATTTCATTGACTTCTGTTTTAATCTTTATGATTTAATTTTTTGTATTAGCTTTGGGTTTGAATTGCTCTAGTTTTTCTAGGACCTTGAGATTTACCATTAGATTATTTGGGTTCTGTTCTTGTGATGTGGACAGTCACAGCTATAAACTTCCCTTTTAGGACTGCTTTCATTGTGTCCCATAAGTTCTGGTGAATTTCACTGGAATTATCATTTAGTTCTAGAAACTGTCCTAATTCTTTCATGAGTTCTTCTGTAACTCATTTGAGTGTATTGTTTAGCTTCAGTTCATTTGCATCATTTGTATGTTCTATTGTTGGTGGTTTCTAGTTTCATTGCACTGTAATCTGTTAATATGCATGGTATACTTTCAGTTCTTTTATATTTACTTAGACTTGCTTTATTGGCTAATACGGGGTCTATTTTAAAGAAAATTCCTTATGTTATTGAGAAGAATGTTACTGTGTTGTTGTTGGGTAGAACACTTAATAGATGTCTGTCAGGTCTATTTGTTTGAGGGTTTTGTTCAACTCTGATTTTATTTTATTTTTGTCCAGTTGATCTATTTGTGATTCTGTCAGATTGAGGTTCCCTACTATAATTGTGCTTTTTTTCTGGTCTTTTTTGTCTTACAGTAATACTTGTTTTATGAAGTTTGGTGTGTTGTTTAGTACATATTAATAGTTGTTCTCGTTTTTTGTCAGATTGTTCCCCATAACCAATATGTAAGGGACCTCTTTGCCTCTTTGGATCAGTTTTGGTTGAAATCTCTTTTGTATGGATATAGCTATATCTGCTTCTTTTAGGTTCCTGTTTCATGAAATTCTGTTTTCCATCCTATGACTTTTAGTCTGTTTCTTTTTGTGTTAAATGTGTTTCTTATAATATACCATACTGTTTGATTTTATTTGTTTTTGAGAGAGGTTCTTACTGTGTAGTCTAGGCTGGCTTGCTTTAAATGCACTGGGTAGCCCATGCTGGCCTTGAACTTGCAGCAACCTCCAGCCTGAGCCTCTTGAGTTGTGGGGATACAGGCATGCACTACAACACCCGTCTTGATTTTGTTTCTTTTCTTTTTTTGAAAATTTTGTTTCTTGATTTGTCTTGCCAGTCTATATGTTTTGATTGGTTAATTAAGACCATTCACATTGCATTACTAGAGAGGTATTGATTTATTTCTATGATTATTTTATTTTTTATGTTGCCAGTTTGCTATTTTTTTCTATTTAACCAATCACCCTACCTAAAATAATTTTTCTAGACCTTTTGTTGTCTATGGGATCTTCTTCAAAATTTTAGAGCACTAGTTTGATGGTCATGAATTTCTTTGTTGCTCTTTATCATGTTATTTCTCCTTTTTTTTGGTACACGGATTGAACTCATGACTTCTTACTTGCCAGGGAGGAAATCTGTGGCCCCTTTTTTTTTCCCCTTGAGACAGGGTTTTACTCTGTAGTGCAGGCTGGTATTGAACTCACTACATAGCACATGCTGGCCTTGAACTCACAAGGATCCTCTTGCCTCAGCCTCCCAAGTGTAAGGATTATAGGCATGAACCACCACGACTGCTTATTTTTCAATCAATTTTGAAAAATAGTTTTCCTAATTATATCAGTCTAGATTGGGGATTTGTTTTCTTTTAGAGCTTGAAAGACTTCACTCCAAGCTTCCTGAACTTTAAGGTTTGTGTTACAAAGCCTGCTGTTATTCTAATGGGCTTACCTTTGTAAGTGAGTTGTTGCTTTTTCTCTTAACTTTTAAGATGCTGTTCTTGTGTTGGGCTTTTGGGATTTTGAGCATAATGTGGAGGGATTCTTTTCTGATCGTGGCTCTTTGGGATATGCATGTATCACTATAATATGATTTTAACTTTTAGGGTATAGCTGGATTAAATGACATTTCTAGTTTTAGTTTTTGACTCATCTCCATAGTATTTCTCATTGTGGTTGTACTAGTTTACATTCCCAACAGCAATGTACAAAGGTGTTGTTTTGTCCATAATTTTGCTAGCATTTATTGTTTTTTGAGCCTTTGATGAGAGATATTTTTTCTGGAGTAAGATGGAATCTCACTATTATTTTGATTTATATTTCTGCAGAGCAGTCTTTTAAAAACTTGACTATGAAATTTTCCTGCATTCCTCTTGTGACTTCTCATTACATTTAGAGTAAAATCTTAAACTATGTTGCTTAAGGTGTTTATGAGGTTGGATCTTTGATAACTTCTTCAGCAGCTGTTTTTTTGTTGTTGTTGCTGGACCTTGCACGTGGTAAGCAAGCCTCCAGCAGTGTCTTCTTGTGAGCACATTAGAAATTTTTGACTGCCTCAGACTAGCCCCTGGTTGTTTTTTTTATGACCCTTGTCAGTCTTGGTATACCAGGAAGAACAACTGGGTAGAACAATAATGCATCACTTTGGCTAAAGTGATACAGAGCAGTAACAGTAGCCTCAAACACAAGCTAGAAAATGACAAATTGAAGTAACTATTGATTTGGCACCTTTAACCATATTAGCTGGACTTGTGGTTATATAACAAAATCTAAAAGGAACCAGAAAATTGTACACAGTAAATAAATATGGTAATCTTACTCTCAGGGGGGAAAATTGAAAAGAGAAATGGGAGAAAAGGAAGATATTAGAAGTAAGAGTGAAAGACAAAGGAGGATCATGCAAACTTTTGGAAACTGGTACAGAAGACTGGAGGAAAGAGCAGAAATAAAAACAAGAACAAGAATGGAATGGAACAACAACAACAAAAACACTGCAAACCTCATCTACACTGTTGACAGAACAATGAAGAAGAAATAGACAAAACAACAGAAAAAAAATAAAGAAAAATGAGAAAAGAAAAAATGTCCACTTCATGGTATTTCTCTGTTGCCCCTGGTGGTGTGGCAGACAGGGTCCAGATCTGTGTCAATCCCAGCAGGCCAGCAGCAGCTTGGCGGCAGGGCTGTGGTTAATCTCAGCAAGGCTGCATCTCTGTTTCCACTGAAATTCAGGCTGGCCTCTGGCTGTTAGGAGAGAACCAGACCTGCCCACCTCACAGCAGTCCCTGTGCCAGCTGTGGGTTTGAACTCCTCTGGGAGCCACTAGATGGAGCCAGCAGCCACTCCAGAATCCTGAACTCAGTTGGCCTTTTTCCAAGATGGCTCTCAACCAGTTGTTTTCTCTTGCTGACTGTCTGAACTGAAACAGCTCGCAAGCCACTGAAGTCTGCTGTGTCCACTGCTCCATCCCATTGGTGTGTTCTCTGTGGAAGCCTTTGGGGTTGCAGTGGGTCTGCAGGTTCAGGCCTCTCTTCCTAGGCAGTAAGTCTGTGTTCAGAGGAGAGTACCACCTGCCTCTTCCTCCTCCTTCGTTGAAGTTTTTCTCTTTGCTTGCCCTGTGGGCTTCAGTTCTCTCTTCACATCATTCCTGGATCCTGGGGACCCACTCCTTCTCTGACTCACATTGTTATATTCCAGTGTTTGGACACCAACTCTGAGAGAGGCTCTTTCTTTGCTGCATATCCACTCTGCCATCCTCTTGGAAGCAACCCTTCTTACATGGGAAGGTTAGGCAGAGAGCTTGCATTTGAGGCTCACCTTGGGAACTTTGTAAAACTAAGTTTTTCTGTCTCTCTCTGTCTCTCTCTCCCTGCCCCCTTTCCTTCTTCCTTTTTCCTTGCGACTTTGTGAAATCCTCTTCTTTCCTGCATTTCTTTCATTCATTTGTTTGAGACAGGGTTTTACTATGTACTTTAGGTTGGCCTTGAACTTACTATGTAGCCTAGACTGTTCTTGAACCCTCAGCAATCCGCTTGCCTCAGCCCCCCGAGTGTTGGGATTGTAGGTCTGTGCCACTATGCTTGGCAAAGACCCTGTTTCAAAACAAAAAATCATCTGGGAAGTGACATGAAGGCAGTATCTTTTAGGAAACTGGTTTGGTTATAGAGTAGTTTACAGTTACTTTTCTCAATTGAGAAGGTATAGTGACAGCTTAGAAAAACTGAAAGTAAATTGAGAGTAAATATGAGATATAGAAAAGAAACACCATCAGGATTGCTATGTTTGAGTAAAAGGAGAAATTGAAAGTAACCGTAGTTTCCAAAAAATTACAATAGAAATAAAAATAAATGTTTTACTTTTATATAGTGTTTTGCAGTTTTAAAACTGTGAGATAGTCAACAGTTTTTTATTACAAATGGTGAAATTGAGGTTCAGTATTTAAAGGACTCAACTACTTGTATGAATGGTAGAGCTAGAATTGAACATACCTTCTTACTTTTTTATCTACTGTATTGTCATTGACATCTACTCAGTTACCTAAACTTGTGCTTCTGTTGTAATACACCATAGAGCAGTTAGAATGATTTCCTGAGGTCCTGCTGTAAACATCTGGGGTTTTTTTTTTTCCTTTTAACCAGTATTTGTCTAATAGATTATGAAAACTTTTTTGGTAGGATACCTGTTATTTGTTTTATGTCACTGTTGGTATTTGGTTTTACTTTGTTTTTATTTTATTTGTTACCAGGGATCAAACTCATGACCTTGTGCTTGCCAGGCAGACACTTATGCCACTGAGCTGAATCCTCAGCCCTCACTGTTGATATTTGGGAAATGCAAAATTTGGCAGGCATGTGTGTCTTTTATATCCATTGTGTTTAATTAATATAATTTTAAAACTTAGACTTTGCGCAAGGGATATTTGGAGGAAGTGTGGTTATTTATAGTCAGATTAGAAAACTTGAGGAAAGATACAGGTATCCCCAAATATTTGAAAGTTCCAATAGAAGAGGATTTGAAAATCTTGTTTTTTAAACTAGAGAATAAGATCCTGCCCCAGAGGAGGAAGTTGTAGGGCTACAAGTAATTTTCTAATAGTTAGAACTATCTAGAAAATGGAACTAGTACTTCAGAAGGTAAGTAAATTTTTTTGTCTATGAATTGTCAGGCAAAGATCCATAGGGATGCTGGATGCTGTAGAGACGCTTCATACATTGGATGAGAGATTGAAAGAAGCTTTTGAATTGGCTTGAAACCATTAGACCCAATTTCTGAGCTATCCACTAATTCTGAGCTATCTACTAATTATGTTCCTTGACTCATTTCTAATTTGGTGAATTTATATTTTGGCTTGGATTCTCAGAAAAGATACCAAATATGTGCTTTGGGGAACAAATGGATTAGAAGTTTTCATTATGTATTTCAGTGCGTCTACGTGATGGTATAGTATTTCTTCTTGCAGTACTTGGGTTTGAACTCAGGTCCTCATACATAGTAAGTCTGTGTTCCTCGATCCATCTCCAGCCTGATGGTAGTTTTCTTTTTTGTGTAGTACTGGAGATTGAACCCAGGGCTTTATATTTGCTAGAAAAAGGCTTTCCACTGAGCTGTAAATGCTTTTTTTTTTTTTAACTTTATTTTTTGGAGCAGATTTTTATTCACAAAAAATTAAGTGATAAATTCACAGCATTCACATGTATTGGTTGTCCCCATACATGCATGACCTCCTCTCTATTATATACATCCTACACTACAGAGGCATATTTGTTAAAACTCATGATTCTACAATAGTTACCACCTGAAGTCTGTAGTTTATATTAGATTTCATTGTTCTCTGATAGCAGTTTGAAAGAATATATTCCTGCTCATTGTTAAATAGTTTTGTAGACTTGCTCTAGTTTTGGCAGTTTTGATTCGCAGGTATAAAAAGTAGCATCAGTGTCATCTGTTTTGAGAAAGTATTCATGAGGAAAATTCTGATTTGGTTTTTTTAATTTACATAAGGCTAATAGTATTTTTCATTTTTATTTCAAGTACCAAAAGAATTGGTGGAGCTCCATTTGAAGTTGATGAGGAAGATTGGCAAATCTGTTACAGCAGACAGATGGGAAAAATACTTGATCAAGGTAACTATTTGTGAACTACCTTTTGCATTACTAAATGCTCTATTTAGTAAAAAAAAAGTTTATATTTTATAAACTTTTACAGTAGTTTATAAAATGTAGTATGCAAGTCTAAAATTTATATTATCTGTAAGTGTATGGGTTTCCTCTTTTAGTGCTACAAAGCAATAGTTTTGAGTCCTAAAATTAGGTTTCAGAGTTATTATATATTGTTTGTACCTAAAGTGGTACTCAAAGCTTTTCATATCTTCTCTCATTAAATCCTTAAAATCATCCTGACCGCATCAAGTAAGATACAGATAAAAGTCCAGGGAAGGTATCATTTTTGTTTACCCCATAAGCATAGGCGGTTGGGTTTGTCCTAACTTGAAAGGTAAAATGTCCCAAGTCTGTTAGGTCAATATGAGAATCTTTTTTTAAGTAATTCACAAGGCCAAACTTTTTATTAACGAGGACAACCTGACTAATTTAAATCAGTTTTAGGAATGACCTTGTTCAAAGGAGGACTGTTTATTCAGTATAAATTGTCTAGAAATGCATCTTAGCGTGGAGAACCGTATAATTTGTTTAACTCTAAAGTAACATACATGACATAAAAGATGTCCTTCGGGGATAGTCTGACTCTTTTTTTTTTTTTTTCTTTTTTATCGGTACCAGGGATCAAACTATAACCACACTCTTCCAAGGCAGGCGCTTACGCTGCTGAGCTAAATCCCCAGCCCCTTCTGACTCTTATAACATACTAAAATATTAGCCTCTATTTTTAGGTGATTGAAAAATAACTTTCTTGTTTACTGTACAAAACTGGATATGTTTACACCATATATTATCATATCTGGCCTTTTTTTTCTCGAGAAAGTATATGAATTTAGAATGTTATAAAAAGAGGAACTATCAGGGACAAGACTTCCTTGTTTGTGTTATGAATATCATATGTGCTATTCCAGTTAACTTTGCTGTATAATACACCACTTCAACTTAAGTGATGTAAAACAATAATCATTTTAATCAGCTCAATGATTCTTTAGGTCAGGAATTTAGAAAGGTCACTTCCACCATACTCTATTGGTTGAAGCAGTCACAGCTCTGTCCAGAGTCAAGTGGAGGGAACATAGGCTCCCAGCTCTAAATGGTAAGACTGTCAAATTTTTCAAAAACCCAGTATACAATATATTACAATACCTTTGCACAAGTTTGAAACACTGCAAAGTTAACTCAGTATTTCACAAGTTTGATGTTTAAGCTTGATTAAATAATGCTTAACTTGAGTCTTTGTAATATTCTGAACTGTGATGTGAAACTTTTAATTACTAAGAGTGCTTTTGAAATACTAGTGGAGTGTTCTCGTTTTAATGATTTTTAATGAATCACGGTTTTGGAATCTAAAAAGAGATACTGGAGTTTCAAGACACTGGTTTTACTGTAACATTTAAAAAGATTATAAAGAATGTAATCCCTTATGAATACATTTGCTTGTTAAAGATTTTTTAAATGAATTTTTTTAATATTCTAAGAACTGAAATATCTTGTTTAACAGTACTTGTTTTATTACTAACAAACTTAGGATCATGTATAATTTATTTTATCCTCTTTAGATTTAGTTCCTTTGTAAGATCAGAATTGAGATGATTGTAAAAACCCATCAGTTCTGTGGTTTTGGTCCTAGTTCATTTTTTAAAAATTGAGATATAGTCATATACCATAAATTCAGTCTTTGAAATTGTGTAATTCAGTGACTTTTAGTATGTTTACAAAGTTGTTCTCCCATCATCACTAATCCGCAAGATTTTTATCACCCCAAAGGAAACTTCATACTCACTAGCAGTCAGTCTCTCTTCCCTGAGCCTCTAGCAACCACTAAGGTATTTTATGACTCCATGAATTTGCCTCTTCTGCATGTTTTATGTAAACAGTCATATAATATGTAGTTCTTTATTGTCTACTTGCCTTTTTTTTTTTAATGGTGCTGGGATTGATCTCAGGTCCTCACGTATGCTAGATATGTGCTCTACCACTGAGCTGTATATCCCTAGTCCTCTTTCTTTTGTTTAACACTTACTATTAATGATATTTAGTATATCAGAATGTTTTGTAGGCAGTACCAGGCTCTAGTTTCAGAACGTTTTCATCAATGAAAGGAAATTCTATATCCATTAAGTACCCTACACTGTTTACTTGTAATGTATTTTCTATCTCCATAGATTTCCATAGTGGATATTTAATGTGTATGGAATTCTGTAATATATGGTCTTTTGTGTCTGGTTTCTTTCTCTTGACATGATATTTTTAAATTTTATGCATGTTATAGTATGTATTGGTACCTTGTTCCCTTTTATATCTAAATCATATTCTATAGGTATACCAGATTTGACATGTCCTGTAAGTTTGTGATACTTGATTTGTTTCTATCTTTTGGTTACTTTTAAATATTTGGTTTGAATAGTATTGCTTCTTGAATATTTGTGTACAAATTTTGGGCTATACATATGATTTTGTTTCTTTTCAATATGTACCCAAAATGGAAGTGCTACATCATACTTAACTTTGTGAGACGTTGTTAGACCTTTCCACAATAGGTGTACTGTTCTACATTTCTATCAAGAATGTATAAAGATTCCTTTTCCTAATTCCTCCTCCCCAATATATGTTTATGTTATTTTATAATAACCATTTTAGTGGGTATGAAGTATAGTTGTTTGAGTTTATCCAATTACTAGTTATGGTGAACATTCCTGTGCTTATTTTTTTGTTTATCTTTTTTTGGATTTACCTATATTTTACTTGGTTGTTGGTATTTTTATTTTTGAGTTGTAGGAGTTTTTTGTGTGTGTCTAGGTATTTTTGTATACCAGACCCTTGCCACATATATGATTTGCTAATACTTTTTTCCATTTAAAAAAATTTTTTTTTTTTGTCTTTTTCATTTTTATCGGTACCAGGGTTCGAACTCACAACCTTACACTTGCAAGGCAGGTGCTTATGCCACTGAGCTAAATCCCCAGTCCCACTTTCTCCCATTCTTTGTGTTGTCTTTTCATTTGATTGAATGACTTTTGAGGTACTGGATATTGAATTCAGGGGACCCTGAACTACATCACCAGTTCTTTTAATTTTTAATTTTTGAAACAAGGCTTTACCAAGTTGCCCCAGCAGGCCTTGATTTTATCCTCCAGCCTCAGTCTCCCAAGTATGTGGGAATTCAGTCATATACCACCAACTCTATAATCTTTTTACACTTTTGATAGTGCTCTTTATTAATTTTTTACTTAATCATGACAACATGCTGTATTTTTGTACTATGGTCGATCTGCCTCTGTTCAGATAACTGTGCAGTTACACTGTTAATAATTGTTGAAGACCATTTGAGTGACTCCCCTTGAATGTAAAACAATTGCTGCAACTTTGATTATATCGATACTTCCTTATATGTACAGAGCTGACTGTGATACTTCTTTTCTGTTTAATTGGCTCTAAACATTGCAAATAAGGCTAGCTGAGGTACTGATATGTAATCTCTAAAGCCATGAGAAGATATCCCGTTTCTTCACATAATGTTCTCTATAAAATATATGAGCACAGTTGGATGATAGAGGCAGTCAGCTCCAGAAATGTCAACAGGGTATAAGCTTTGAGATAAAGAGGCTATAGTTCCCAGGGGGAAAATTTGCATATCAAAAACTAAAGCAGTTTAAACTGCTTTAAACCAAAAACAATTCAGTTGCTACCTTAATTAAAATTATGCGGATTGATCCTTCTACATATTGTTATCCCTGCATTTTGCAAAGATGCTTTTCTTACTACCTGGCTAGCCAGTTCAAGTTACTCACATAGTTCCAGACACCCTCACTGTCACTCATCCTTGAGCCACCCCCTACTTTACGAGATAATAAATTCTGGGAGAGGCCTTAGATCAGGGCCTTTGTTCGCACATCCTCATGGGGATTGGATTTAGGATCCCTTGGCTACTGTTACCTTTTGAGTATTGGTGTCTTTACTCTTGCCGTGGGTTGCTTTAGGGACAGTGGATTAAAATTAATTTACCAAGATTCTAATACCATTTCAATGGGATTGTAAATGTAACTTTTTGGATTGTGAGGAAGACTAAAAAAGGGATTATAGTACTCAGATTACCATACTCAATATTTGGGATTACAGTAATATGGTATGTTACATTGATTGATTTTTTTATATGCTAAATCAACCTTGCAATTCTCTAGAAAGTACCATGTAGTCTCAGTGTATATATATATTCCTTTATATACCTTTCTAGATTTGTTTTTTAAATTTATTTTTAAGAATGTATTTCTATATTTGTAAGAGATAGTGTTTTATAGTTTTTTTGGTGTGTGTGATGCCTTTGTTTGGTTTTGGTATTTGGGTAATACTATCTTCATAGAATAAATTGGGAAGTATTTTCTTTTTAATTTTTTGTGTATGTGTATGTGTGAGGTGGTGGGGATTAAACCCAGGGCCTTGTGCATGCAAGGCAAGAAGTCTCCCACTGAGCCACATTCCCAGACCTTCTCTTTAATTCTTAGTTTTTGTTAAGTAGTGCATTAGTGGTAAAGTTTTTTTTGTTGTTTGTTTTTTTTTAAATCGGTACCAGGGATCGAACTCACCATGCGCTTGCAAGGCACATATGCCACTGAGCTAAATCCCCAGCCCCTAGTGGTAAAGTATAACTTTAGAATTTAGCAATGAGACCATCTAAAGTTGGGCTTTTCTTCGTAGAAGCCTTTGTTTACTCAGCCTCTTTACCTCTTACCTTCATCTTGAATATTTAGTGCTTAATCAGTTATGTACTGTACATCTTTAGTGAAAAAAATGATGAGTCTATAAGAGCCTAAACAAGTATACCAAAGGGACCCTAAAATATAGTTGCTTAAATAATCAATAAATTTATTACTTTCTATCAAAATAATATAATTGGTCTAGACTTCTAAGGGTCTGTGAGTTGTTGTATGAGGTTATTCTGAGATCCAAATTCTTCCTATTTCATTATT